AGGGGAATACTTATGAGGACTTATTTGAGGATTTAGACATTTGTTTGAGGTCCAATCTTGATACAAACTATATAATTTAAACACGAGAGAGAATGGATAAATGGAAATGATATTAATTTTAGATTTCGACCATATGGGCCTGGGTTAACTTTTTGTTTACTTTCAAAATATATTAAAGACCAAACGTTTTTATACTAAGGTAGTTTCTAAAGTTTAGTTTAACTTATTTGAACATTAATTCGCTAGATTCGAGTGGTTTGGTGGCTTGTGCTAAAAGAAAGGCGGTGTTGGGGGGTTGATTTGAGCTGAAAAGAGGTCTTGATTAATTTTGATTTGAGTGAATTAGGATGTAATTGTGTCTAATTGCTATGTATCATATAGGTTAAGCATGCGGGTAGAACTAGCCTTATTTAAGCTATGCTATGTTTTATTGTAACGACCCGGCCGATCATTTTGAGAATTAACATCCCGTTCGGTGGAATAAGGTCTTGAGCAACTTTGTATTATGTGTATGACTTGCACGCGTGGCCGAGTTCAGTTTTTGGATGACTCAGGGTCAATTTGGAAGAAAGATTCTTGTTTTGGAAGCTTAAGCAGTAAGAGTTGACCGGAATTTGACTTTTGTGTAAACGACTCCGGAATGTGTTTTTGATTGTTCCAATATCTTTGCATTGTGATTTTGGACTTAGGCGTGCGTCCGGATTTTGATTTGGAGCTACGTAGCGTAATTTGAAGCATTTCGGCAAAAATTAGAAAGTTGAAATTTTTTAGGTTGAGAGGTTTGACCGGCGGNCATGCAAAATTTGACATCAATCCGGATTGATTTGGTATGTTACGACACGAATTTTGGAAGTTGGAAGATTTGAAATTTCATATGTTCAATTCGTGGTGTGATTTCTAGTTTTAACGTTGTTTGATGTGATTTTAGACCTCGAGCGGGCCCGTATTAAGTTATGGAACTTTTTGGTATATTTGGACAGGGTCCCGAGGACCTCGGATGGGCTACGGGCTATTTCTGCAAGTTTATTAGTTGCTGGTTTTCGGTGTCTGAAAACCTTCTTCATGATCGCGTAGTGTCACCCGCGATCGTGTAGTGTATTTTTGACTTGCCATATTTTCCATCTTCGCTTTCGCACACCTTTTCCCGCGTTCGCGTAGTTTTAACCTTGCTGGGTAGGTCGGCACTCTGTTATTCGCGTTCATATAGCTATGTACTGGATCGCGTACATGAGGCAGTGAATCAGCCGAGTTCGCCTTCATTCCTCCGCGTGCGCGTAGTGCCTTCTCATGGGGTAGTGCCATTTCTTCTTCTCGGTCGCATGGATTAATTTGCAATCGCGTATGCATTTCTGTGGCAGCCATTAATTCTTCTTCGCAATCGTGGGCGATCGCATGTGTATTTCCGCAATTGCGGCGTACAAATACCTAAGCAGTAGGATATATTATCAAAATCAAGGGTTTGGAAATTTCTATCATATCTTGAATTGTAGAGCTCGGCTTTGAGCAATTCTACGTGGATTTTTCAAACAAATCAATGGGGTAAATGTTCTTTACTTAGAATTTATTATATTGCATAATACTATCTTCATTTATATCTTATAATAAGTGTTTTAAGTTGAGGAAAAGGAAAAGTTTTGAAGAAATCTTTCAAAATGTAAAATGATGATTTGAATGATGAATTTATGTCAGAAATTGATAATTTTGGTATGGTTGAACTCGAATCGGAATGGGTGTTCGGTTTTGTGAATTTTATCAGGTTCCGAGGTGCAGGCCTGGGTTTTGACTTTTGGGTTGACATTTTAGTTTTAATGAAAAATCGAAGCTTCATTACACGCAATTGTTATCTATGAGTTTCATTTGTGAAATGAAGTTATTTTGGCTAGATTTGAGCAGTCAGAAAGTTGTTTCACTCTAGAGGGCCATTTTAGAGTAACGGTCTACCTTCTTTAAGTTAAGTATCTTGTCTAGCCTTGTGTGGGGGAACTACCCCTTAGGATTTGAGCATTTAGTGCTAATTGTGTCGTGAAGTCCATGTACGTGAGGTGACAGGTACATGCTCGGGCTTATTTGTGGAAATTTGACCGTTTAGGGTTCTTAGGTTCTTATGCTCATTAGATATGAAGTTATTTTGTCATGTTAAAAATCCCCCATTTACTAGTTTCACGTGCCTTAATTGGAATTAATTGTTTCATGTTCCACCCTTATTTCCGATTAAACTTTTATGTGCCTTAACTGAAGTTGTTTCCTCTTCTATCGCTATGCTATCCTTTCCTAATTGTAGTTATTATTACCTTTTCCCATAATTGCTTATCCTTAATTGAATTGTTGTATCTCTTCCGCAATTGCTCAACCCTAAATGATGTTTGGTTATCCTTTATCATTGTTGACTTATCCTTATTTGGAATTATTGACTCAAGTTATCTCCCTTACCATCGAATTGTACTTTTGTGGAATCACTGCTACACATTATATGTTCCTTGTCGAGCTATTGCTATGTTGTACTATTATTTTCTGTTGTGTCTTTCTTTGTGAGTTCGTTCTTCCGTTTTCTTTGTATTCTTAAGTTATTGAGTTGATTTGCTTATCGTATTCTCGTGTTGTTGTTGTTGTTGTTGTTTTTGTATTCAGTGTTGTTGAGCCGAGGGCTATGCATTGTTTTAATATTGAAACTGTTTTGAGGAAATATTGTGGCATGTGGGCACCTATCGTGAAAGTCATTTATTTGAGTTGTTTTGTTTTGGAAAACGTATTTTGTTGAGAGAATTGTTATTGTGTTGCACGAGGTTTCTACCGTGCGGTTGTTATTGTGTTTCACGAGGTTTCTATTGTACGGTTGCTACTGTGTTGTACGAGATTTCTGTTGTATTGTTGTTATTGATACGCATGCGGTGGTATAAAGTTTGGGTGTTGAAACGCATGCAGTAAGAATGGTGGGCTTAAAACGCATGGATAGTTGGGGAACTACTAGATGCCATGCGGTGTGATAAGGTGGGCTAAAACGCGGGATGCTATTTTGGGAAAATAATTTTCAAAAACTAAATATAAAGGCTCCCGTGGTGATATAAGGAAAGTTGTGATTCATATTACTATTTGAGGGTACCTCGGGAGGGCTCTATTGTCATTTCCCCTTTTCTGTGCACTTGTCTTTGATTGTTATTTTCCTTAGCATACTACTAATTGTTTTCCTCCGTGTTGCTCTATTTGTTCAGATTTCTATGTAGTTAATCTTGTTGTGCTGTCGTAACGTCCAATTCATTGCTGCCTTATTTACACTTTATATTTCATGGTTATCGCTTCTTATGTGCATTCATTGTCTTACTCTTATTTGTTCACTTGGATTGTGGTAGAACACTTGCACAATAATATACGTAGATAATCACCTATGTCAGTTTAAGAAGATGAATCCTGACGTTATTGACCATTACGTGTATTCTTGTCTACCTGCCTTCTGTGTGAGAGTTGTTCTCTCGGCACGTGAGTCGTTCGTGTGGTTATGAATTGAACTGTGGGCACAAGATGCCAACAGATTAGGGTGCACAAAGTGGGACACGTGAGCTGTAATTATGAGGTTCGGTACCTCATGGAAATGCCTGAACAAATTTGGTGTGAAAGCAACTCTTCTTTTTTAGATATTACTGGTTTTTCCTCTATTTTGGTTTGATCGGACTTAGACTGTGTCTAGCTTAATCTACAACATTATTACGTGACTACTTCCTGTTAAATATTGTTGTTATTGGTGTATCATTGCAAGTATTGTTTGTTATTCCTTACCCTTCTTAGTTGTATATGAATATTGTTTCTCCGTTAGTTCACTTTCACCCTTGTTCGGGTCGTTTAGTCCGATATGTGTCATGACTTTCCCTCGTCACTACTCTACCGAGGATAGTTTAGATACTTACTAGGTACCGATATGGTGTACTCATACTACGCTTCTACACATTTTTGTGCAGATCCAGGTTCCACGGTTGTTGTTCATTATTAGCTGGCTGGTCGAGCTGTGGAGACTCAAGGTAAACATGTCATCACGTTTACAGGCCTCTGAGTCACCTTCTGATGTTGTACTTATACTGTTTAACTTCCATTCCGAATAGTTGTATTTAGGGATTCTTCTAGTAAACTCAGTAGAGATTATGGCTTGTACTACTGGTTTTAAGAAATTTTAATTATGCATAAGATCTTATCTCGTATGTATTATTGGATGGTTAAATTATTCTATTTATTTAGTAAGTATTAGGCTTACCTAGTCTTAGAGACTAGGTACCGTCATGATATCCTACGGAGGGAAATTGGGGTCGTGACAAGTTTGTATCAGAGTTCTTGGTTCATAGGTGCTACGCCTCATATGCGAGTTTAGTAGGGTCTTGTGGATCGGTACGGAGACGTCTGTACTTATCTTTGAAAGGCAGAGAGGTTGCTTCGAGTGTGGAGGTACTAGCCACATGGTGAGAGATTGTCCCAGACTTCGGACAGATGTGTCACGGCGGGGTGTTCAGGATTTGAGTTCTGCTTCAGTTGTCCATATTCCTGCACATTCAACTTAGGGTGTAGGTCAGGCGAGTAGAGGTCACCCAATAGGGTGAGGCCCAACCCGTTGATGTGATTTCTATAGTAGGGCTGAGGCTGTTGCACTAGATGATGTCAAATGGGTATGGTTTTGATTTGTCATAGAGGAGCATCATTCGTATTTTGTTCTGGTTCTGCTTATCAGGGTGAGTCCTCCTATTTTTATTCGCACATGGGTGAGTTTCGTGATTTTGTACTCTATTTTTGTATTTACCCCTGCTGGGAGATTCTATAATGGTAGCCCATGTCTATCGTGTTGCCTTAATTCATTATTGAGAGCTATGAGAGTAGAACTGAATTTTTGTTACTCATTACGGTATGTTTTTGTGTGATTTCTGAGTGATTGGTTACGATTTGTGATAGATATGCTCTACCGGCGTGAGAGTTCAGTATGTGTTGTGATTTTGTTGGCAGAAAATTGAATTAGTGGAAGGTCTTAGTTGGTATGATGTGTATTCCAATTGTGATTCAGAGTTGAGGGTGAGACCCTCGCAGTTTCATGTAGTTTGATGTGTTTAAACCAGGCTGCATATCACGGTGCAAGTTATATCAGGATCCTTGTGATTTGTTTATATGTATTGATTCTCCCTTGCAGAATTGATTCGTAGTATAGTACAAACAGGGAGTTGTGTCTGTCGCGCTTGTTTGATAGTTCTCTTTTGTGTTTCGCCTTGCATATTCAGTCATATTCGTGTTATGTTTGTTGAGTTTTAGCTTGTGAGGTGTGTGCCCCGGTGGCATTGGATGTGACTTGTTGATTCAGGCAAATAGCTGTGAGGTCTTCATGTTAATTGCATCATTGTCAGTGTAGTAATGGTTTGAAACGGGGTTCTAACGGATATGAGGCTAATTGCCGATATTGGATTTGTTGACGGGCAGCTATTGTGATCAGAGATATTGTTATGGGCATATGTGTGATGTGTTACGTCGTTGGTTGTACCGTTGTGGGTGTAGGCATAAGTTGTTGTAGCTGGTTAAGGCTGATACCGGGTGTGGATGTAGGAATCAGGGAGATGATCGGATGGTGAGAATTTTGGTTCTAAGGCTTATTAGTATTGGTGGAATGGATAAATTTCAGTTGAGATGGTGTCGTCGGGCTTATGTGGATTGGGGTAACGTGGGATCACCCGCGGGTGTATGTACGATGAACACATTCAGTGATTTGATGACTTCGAGACGACTCTTGGCATGTTCGAGGACGAACGTCTGTTTAAGAGAGGGAGGATGTAGCGACCTAGCCGATCGTTTTGAGAATTAACGTCCTGTTTGGCGGCATAAGGTCTCAAGCACCTTCACATTATGTGTTATGACTTGCGCGCGTGGCCGAGTTCAAATTTCGGATGATTCAGGTTCAATATGGAAGAAAGATTCTTGTTTTAGAAGCTTAAGCGATAAGAGTTGACCGGAATTTGACTTTTGTGTAAACTACTCCGAAATGGAGTTTTGATGGTTCCAATAGCTTCTTATGGTGATTTTGGTGTTTGGATGAATGCAGCATCTGGAGCAAAGGAAAGAGAACCTGAGACTGGTCTGGCAAGTCTTTCTGAAATGTGCATCCAACAAAGTAAAGATAATGTTGAAGGAGTTGAAAGGAAGTTGAAAGAAAAAGCACCTCTTGTTGTTCATGAAATTATTGAAAAGATTCAGCAGGTTAGTGTGCACAGTTTTGTTGTTTACTGTGTCTAAGTTTTTTCTCTAGTATGTTATACTAGATTAGTTCTTTTTAGACTAGAATTTTGTTTTATTTGTCAATTCCTTTTTTGAGTTATAGTTTGTCTGTTTTTTTTTTATTAGGCTCTTGAAAAAAATATTTGAGTTTGTTTGGTTTCCAGTATGTTATACTGGATGATTATTATATTATAGTTGAGTTTTGTTTGATTCCTGTATATTTTACAGGATATCTACGCTGTGTAAGCTTGTTGTCCAGTATATTATACTGGATGAGTTCTGTTTAGACTAAAAATTTTTTAGTTGTTATTTATTTTTTGATTGATTAATAGTAATTTTTTTTATTGTCCTGTGAATCTTTGCTTTCCAATATGTTATACTGGATGATTATTATATTATGGTTGAGTTTTGTTTGATTCCTGTATATTTTACAGGAATTCTATCATGTTTAAGCTTGTTGTCCAGTATATTATATTGCAAAAACTAGCATCTGTAGACTGTTTTATCTAGTAAATTATATTGGATATGTATAATTTATTTCATTTCATTATGTTTTTCAGTTCTAATAATCTCTCCATTTCTTTTTTGCTTTTTTTGAAGCAGGGAAAATTGTATACTAGGAAACGAAAGAGGAATTCTGTGGATTCATGCCCTAAGTTTAATATTTTGTCTCAGTTAAGTATTTCAAATTATCCTGAACCTACTGTTGATCGCACCCCTGCTGAACAATCTGTTTCTGCTGATATACAAAAAAATGATTCTGATAAAAATATTGTTTTGTATTCAAGTGTGGATGAGGGAATTTATGTTTCTCCTCTTAAAGTTGCTAAGTTTGTTTCTCAACTAGATGATAAGAAGGTACAAGGTGAAAATGAAAAAGAAAATTTTGCTTCCTGTAAAGGAAAAGAAGTGGCAGGAGCACAAGTACCGCAGATTGCACAAAGTGCGAATGTAGAAGAAGAATTGCTTGGTAGAGGAAAAAGAAATCGTAATGCCAGTTGGCATTTAAAATCTCCATATAAGGGAACATGTAAAGGTCTGAATTGGAATCCAAAATATGTTCGAAGATGTTGCTGGCATTATCGTAAAACAATCAAACGTGCTGAGGATAATTTTGAAGCATATTTAAAGGAGAACAAGAGAAGAGGTCGTCTACCAAAGTGAGTTTTGATATTTAGTTTATTGTATTTTTATTTGATATATATGTTATTAAAATTTCACTTTTTTTTGTTTTTCATATTTGTTTTGTCCTTGTTTTTTTAGGGATGTAACTGATATTTACAAAAAAGATCCTGTACTGCAAGGAAAGCCATATGAACTTTACAATGAGAAAGTCAAATCAAGAATGTTCTTTAAAGAGATGGTAGATGATAAGTATACATTAACTGATGCGGTATGTATATATTTTTTACGTTGTGAACTTTTGATTTTCTTTCATATTATACTTGACATATTTTTTTTTGTTTTATATTCAGCACATAGATGTTGTAATGTATTTTTTGAGGAAGAAGCATATATATCACTTCAATGAGTATCCATTTGCTTCAACAACAACAGATCTGGACTTTAATGACACTTTGGAATTTGCATATAATGACTGGCATAAACGTCCAGAAAAATTTACTGAATTTTAATTTTGGAATGAAGGATTGGGATTTGTCTTATTCAGTATGTATTGGGTGAGAATCGTAGATGTGGGATTCCATGGTCATCTGTTGATAAAGTTTTCTGTCCGATTCGAGTTCCTGCAAATATTGTAGATGGTGAAGTTGCCTTAGATTGTTGCACTCATTATTACCTGGCAGTGTTAGACTTGAATGAGAAGACTATAGATGTATATGATTCTGTGTACCAGGGATATGATTATCAAGTTATAAAGGAGCAGATTCTTCAATATCAGGAATTTATTCCTATGATTTTGGAGTATTGTAAATTTGGTGACTTGCATCCTACATTTGGGCATGAGTATAAACCATTTGTTCTTCACTGGAAAGAATCACCAAAACAGATAGGGAACACAAGTTGTGGTGCATTTGTTATAAGATTTGTTGATATGTTGATGCAAGGTAAAGATGTTATATCAATTGTGCCCAATACAATCAAATATTATCGTCAGTATCTTGGTTTTAGTCTGTGGGCACAGGCAGAATGGAAACACAAATCAGGGTATGAAAGTCCTCCAGAGATGGTTGGTGATGATTATGGAAATGAAGGGAATAACTTTTGTAAATATTCTTTAAATTATGGCA